AGGAATAGGACAGACTGGAGAGAAAAATTCACCTCTCTTCCTGTATAACACAGATTTCTGTAAGTTTTATATTTAAATCAGGCTAAATAGAAAAATCAACTTCCAGAAATTTTACCAGCACAGCTCATCTCACTGGAAAAGGACATGGGTGTACTGTCATTTACCTTGTATTTTCCTTTAATAATGCCTTCAAATAATCTTTCCTTGGTTCCATAAAAAGGCAAACAACCGCTTAGCAGGATAAAAAGGATCACGCCACAACCCCAAACATCGACAGGCTTCCCATATGGTTCCCTTTTTACCACTTCTGGGGCCATAAAATGAGGTGTTCCTACACGTCCTAAAAGGAAATAAAGCCAAAATTGAGTCAAAGTGATGTGTGTCAAACATGGAAATGAAGAATATCACAGCATTAAACTAGAACAGTTTTAGAGAAGTTTTGTCCATGGGTTAAACTTTTAACACAATTCTTTTATCCTTAAGTTTAGTATTTATTAAGTATATCCAGCGAGACAAATCGGTAGTTTTCCTTTTGCTTGATTTATACTTTTATAAATTGAGGAATATTCTATCCTACCCTGCAGACTGTGAAACCAGATTTCTATAAGAGCACTAAGATTCTTCAGTGAAATGTGCCATATAAAAGTAAAAATACCAGTTTGGACAAGCTTTGAAACTCAAATTGTTTATCCAGAGAGCATGTACAAAGATATTGTAGAGTTCTAGTCCACACTGCTTACTTGAAAAAGCTGCCACTAATTGGCAAGAGCATAGTTTGGTGTGATGCTCTGCCCAACCCTTAGCCAGTATACTGAAACTGCCAACAGGAATGCAAAATGCTAGCAAATGTATCGTTCATTTATTTGAAGTAGGCAGTATCTTTCTGCAGCTAAAAACATAATGCTAATTTCTTTCACAGAGTGCTTTCAATGAGGGCCACACCATAATGGTTCTGGGACAGTACTGATTTTGGATTGGTAATGAATGTACACCCACGGAAACAAAATATATTTAGTACCAACTAATCTTTTGAGTGGGTAAACTGATTGGAATGACTTCATTCAACTTCTATGTAACACATTAAGACAAATAAAAGCAACAAACATTTTAACTCTCGTTATAGATGCTTCCAATTGTAAAAAGGTTTGTTTCCACTGTAAGAATTAAGCTCTGAATGCTCAGGGCATCACTGACACCTATAAATACTATAGTCTTTGGACTGCCCTGGTTCCACCAAATACCAACAGAAGAAAAAAACCCCACAACTGTAGCAAACTGTTACCACTTGGACCACGTTCATAAATTATTCTTGCTCACTGATACTACAGTGGACTTCAGAGGCTCCATTCACGGCTTGCAGCACCTTTGTGCTGGCTAGGAGAGTTTAACAAAGCAGCCTAAAGAATCTGAGGTGTTAGCACAGCACCTATTTATTTCAGTGTTGTCTTGTAAAAACTTGCTAGACTAGTCTATCCTGCACACCATTTGAATGTGAACTAGCTAAGTCACAGCACTGGTAACAAACACCTAGGAGACTATCTGTCAGTAGCTTACCCCGTAAAGACCATTCTTTGTTTCTACCACCTAATGCAGGAATTCAATCTAACCATGCTCTGAATGCAATCTAACCATGCTCTGTTCACTAGTCCCCACTCACTCCTTTTTCCATCTACAAGGATTAAAAAAAAATGACAGAAAGACGGCAGCTTTTTCGCCATACTATTCTTAAGGAGAAACACCACCATTGTCAAACTTCTTCACCTAGCTTTGCGTTAAACCTTTTCATTCCCAGTTTATGAGGCAATTCCTCTGCCAAACAAATGTTAGGAATCTGCCTGTGACAAAGGAACGTTACCTCACCACTAAGCTAGGTCAGCACCTTAAAAAGTCCATGCAGTCTAGACTGACATGACAGTAAAGGGGCAGTTCCTTGCCAGGTTAAAAAAGAGTAAACCAGCGAGATGCCGCAAGTCCAGCTCGCCCCTCATATCACTGGGGGAAGAGGAAGGATATTCTCTGGACAGAGAAAGACAGAGATGGACATGGGGAAAGATTACTAATTCTTATTGGTTGTCCACAATTTATAGGCTTATGATGTATCTTTCAGCCTAACTGATAAACCTCAAAGCCAAATCTTCAGGCTCACAAATATGAGGGGAAGAATTATCTCCTTAGATGACCTGAGGTCTCTCTCTTTTAGATTGCAACAGCAGAGGGAAGGAAAATGGAAAGTATATATATCCAGTATGCACAAGTTGCTGAGAACTCAGTGTTTTTTGCATTTTTTTTTCATGTGCCTACAAATCGCTATCTGTAAGGGTTTCCTAACTATGTTCCCCTAAGATGCCATCATTTGTGACGGCGAAAGCATCAACATTTCCAGCTCTGTATCGAACGATGCATGTACATAAGCAGCAACACCTGCCTGTTCAAACAGTATTTGTATGTCACTTAGACAGCTCCTGTGACATTAGTGGTATGCATACCACAGTCTGGAAAACTTTAGTACAGAAGACATCATGTAAGACCGCAGAGCAGCCTGGCTTACCCAAGTCTTGTTTGTCTCAGCGGTAGACTTCCTGGCATTTGGTTTGAACCTTTCTTACACATTGAAAAAACATTTGTGGTAATAAAGCTCATTCAAGTATTTTTTATCAATATGGATGGAAAATCATATATAATCTGAAGAGTCTACCTTCCTACTAAGCTTTCTAATGGCTATTATGAAATCTGTGAAGTCTAGAGAAAAGTCATTATTCAGAAGACAAACAGCAGATATCACTAGAGGACAAGATAGCACATGGACAAACTAAGCTGTTTAAAAGAGGCATTAAACTTCAGGGAGATATGGAGTCATCTGGATCCAGTAGTTAATGAAACTAAGAATCCTATGTATCAAATTATATCTAAGCTCATTTAACATGTATTTCCAATAATTATGTGCAACTCTTCTCAGCTCAGGATGTTCTTTGTGTTTTATGTAAAAAATTGCAGAGATGAACATGGTAAAAAAAATGACTATAAGCTGTGAGAAGCAGACCTAAAGGGTTGGGTTTTGGTTTTAGTTTTGGTTTTTTTTGCCAATGCATTTAAGTCCGCTGGGCACTTGCAGTACAATGAAGGCCGACTTACAAAACATCTTGTTCTGAGGAAAATGGGTCCTTGCAAACAGTTACCCATCCTACATTTTCTCCCAGGGTGTAAAATAGCATATTTCGCAGCAACACAGGCTACGTAAGCAATATAATAGCATTATTTGGCGTAAATGTTTAGGTGTCAACGTGCTGGCAGCAGGGGAGCTGCAGGGGTGGTCTCTGTGAGAACAGGCTGGGGCTGCCCTGCGTGGGACACAGCCAGTTCAAATGGACTCACTGCAGGGCACAGCTGAGCCCAAGACGGTGGTGCCTGAGGGAAAGTGTGTGTAAGAAAGGGGAAAACATTGCCCAGCAGTGAGGAGTATGGGAAAAAGTGTGAGAAACAGCCCGTGAGCACCGAGGTGAGAGCAGGAGGAAGGGGAAGAGGTGCTCCAGCAGGGATTATCCTGCAGTCCCTGGAGAAGCCATGACAGAGCAGGTACGCCCCCGCAGGATCCCACACCAGAGCAGGTATTCACCCTGCAGCCCATGGAGGATCCCATGTTGGAGAAGGTGGATATTCCCTGAAGGAACTGCTGCCTGTGGAGGACCCATGCAGGAGCAGGCTTGTCCTGAAGGACTGCAGCCCACAGGAGGACCCACGCTGAAGAAAGAGAAAAGTGTGAGGAGGAAGGCATGACAGAGAGGGGCTGTTATGGACTGACCACAGCCCCCCTTTCCCCAACCCTCTGCACCACTCAGGGTTGGGGGTGAGGGAGTCAGGAGAGAAGGAGTGAAGTTGAGCCTGGGAAGGGAAGGCGGTGTTTTCATTTTTGTCTTTGTTTCCTACTAACCAAACCTATTTGAATTGGCAGTAAATTAAACTGTTTTTCCCCAAGTCAAGTCTGTTTTACCAGTGATGGTAACTGGTAAGCAGTTTGCATGTACTTATCTCGACCCATGAACTTCTTCATCCTGTTTTTTCCCCGTGCTCTGTTGAGGACAGGGAGTAAGTAAGCAGCTGATGGGAGTTTGGCCCTTAGCCAAAGTCAACCCACCACACGTGGTTATGCTGGTATTAACATAAAGAACATTGATTAAATGGGGAAAAATAAGATGAATCTTCCTCCAAAGATACAGTTTGTTTCTTTCATTTTTAGTTTTCAAATATCACCTTACCTGATTTAATCATGGGCTGTACAAAGTAAGTAATCTGTAGTGTCAAGAAAGTATCAGAAGTGCTATTTTTTTCTTCCTTCTCCCCTTCAGCAAATAATGTTTAAAATTAAAATTACTTTGCAGAAATTGATAAGCAAGAAAAATTCTTCATTACATATATGAAGTCATAAATATATGCAGAACAGAATAGTTTCTTGAAAATAAGCATTAATCAGCTTCCCTAAATTTTGCAAAGCAGGGTCTTGATGGTGGACAACAATTTCAGATTTCTTTTCCCCCTCCACTTCCTGACCACATGTCAAGGAAACACAAAAATACTTACAAAACTACTGAATATCAACAAGTAGCAAACATAACTTGCAACAGTACACTTATCAAAATTGTAGACAAAACATAATATGCAAGCATTTCTTACGCAGTAGCTATCCATTGCCAGCACTCTGTTCATTATCAATGACTTTCATTACATTATCATTGTTTTCCATATACACTTCTTTTTTTTAACAGAACAAGCTTCTTGAAGTTTATTTCCCACTTTCTATGTGACGATAGACAAATTACAGCCTCTTGAAAATTCAGGGTTCCTATTTTGCTTTATCTGGTGGCATTGCATAAGAATGTGAGGCTGCATGTTTACTTAGGACTCAAGAGCTCTTACAGACAAACTGACAGACTTAGAAGTTATGGTTAAAAAACACCATCTCTCTCTGATCATCTCAAAGTTTCTTTCTCCTCCCTTGGAAGTTAAAGAACTTATATCACTGACAGAAAAACTGGATCTTTTTTGCCCTTGTTCAAAAGCAGTATACCATAAAAATCCTCTTTAATGAACTGTTTGATGTTAAGCAGAAGGACTAGACTAGTTCAGTAATAAGTAACATTCCACACAGCTGTTTAAGACCCCAACAGACTGCTGCTATAAACTAGATGAAAAATGGATGCTATATAATAGCATGCTGAAAAATCAGTACTACTAAACCTTAATACTCCCTTTGAAATTTAAAATGAGAACTCCATAAACACAAATGAAATGAGAAAGAAGGCTAGGCTAACTTAATAAAATCCTGCCATTTACCACTGCTAGATT